AATGTTTCTGTAAGTGAAAATGAGTGGATGACTGTCGGCTTATGTGTCAACGTAGGAATTTCACGTTTCTTCAGCGGCAGCATCCTCTCTCCCCTCTGTGACTTTAGTGTCTGTTTGGCTAGATGCACTAATAGACACATTTTATAAGTATTCACTTAAAAAGATGAAGATAAAAATACCAGTCAGACCTCAGGCTTCACGTTAAGCAGGCGTTTACTCGCTCGCCGGATTCTCTGGCTTCCGCTTTCCTGCCAGGATGATGTATATCTTTTTCTCCCCTTACGATCACTCAGACGGTAAAGACTACTTAGCTGTGCTATTATTACTTTTTTTGTCACCCAGCATTACTTTCATTGATTTGCAGACCAACTAAATTTACAGCACTATTCCCATTTTTATTTGGAAATTGCTATGCAATCTCGATTTTAATTGTATATTGATGTTTATTTATATATACACATATGTATGTATATATAAATAAATTATACATTGTTATGCTGTTTTTCATCCAATCCTGTATCACTGTATTGTTTTTTAATCACACAACTTGTCACGGCAGTTATTACAGAAGAGGAGCAAATAGCTTTTTTTTTTTTTTTTTTTTTTGTAAATAGTCCCATTAAAACCATTCATGTGAACAACTACCTGAGTTTGCCCCCTTTTTATGCATTGATGCATACTTTGATTGCTGGGGGGGTTGGGGGACTTGTGTAGTTCAGAGAGGGAAGCTCGTGGTGATTTGTTGGGGACAGGGAGGTGGTCTTTTGCTTTGTACTGTTTTCTTGCTCCAAGGGCTATTGATAAACAAGCAATACGTTGGAACAAAGCAATACCGGTTCATGAATTACATTATTTGGCTTTGCTTTAGGCGAGGTTTAAGTGGTTGAGGAACATTTCAAATTCTCATATTAAATGCCAGCTGTGCTGAACAAATGTGTTCTATTGTGCTCAGTGACTTCAAGTTAGGCTGTGCTAAACTCAGAATTCTCAGCATCAAGAGGAGGTTTCATTAATGTTGAGATCAGATTGCACGTTACATCAGATTACGTCTGAGCAGATTACATCAACTAGTGTTCATTTTATGCCGTCGCTCTTGCAAACATTTCGATTCCCATAGCTGATATGAATGGAGTGATATTTGAAGATGGGGGGGGGGGAGAGTGGGGGAACGAATGCAGCAAAGGCTAATCTCTGCTACTGGGATAAAGAATGTTTAGCTTTGCTAAGAAGTTGGCCTCCCAAAAATTTTCCACACATTTTTAGATGTTGTAAAACTTGCTTCTTATCGCATTGTCAAGCAAAGTCTCTCACCTCAGCTTAACATTCTATTCAGTTGAGGCAAGGTATATGAACCCTGCATAAATTGATCTTCATTTAAGTCGTGACTTCATAACAATTTAACAAATTATACACGTTACATATTTACATTTGCCATATGTTTGTCATACAAATGTTTTGAACAATTAAGGTAATTCATGTCAAAACTATATGGATCTAATTCTATCAGCACCACGATGCCAAGGGACAAATTTCCCGACTTGGGTGGGATGCTAAAATTTGCCGATCTTGGCTATGAATAAGAATTTCTGAGTGGGGGAATGGAAGCTGCTCTACGATAATGACACTTTGATAGGAGGGCGTGGAGTTTACGGTGAATCTAGGTGTGGTTTTCGCTTGTTCTGCTATTCTTCACAGCAGAATTCTGTTGAAGTGCAATTTAACTTGATCAAAAGAGATCTCAATAAGAGTGTTTAAGTGCCTGAAACTGGAAAGGATTACAAAAGAAGTTTTGAAGATTTCCATTGCCGTTCTCAGTAGTTGGGCATTCTGCAAAGATCAGTGCGACCATAGAATCCTCAAAGGACCTTAACGTGATAGCAAAGGATCTGCAGGCATGTCTTGAACGGAACGTCTGTGTTCATGAGTCTATCACAAGAAAAAATGAGTGAACGAGAGATGCACAGAGGAAGCTGCTGCCCAACAGAAAAAATTCTGGAGCTACAGAGAGCATTTAGAGGTTATTGCCAATGAAGGCTGATCTGCTAATTGCTAAATGTTGTGGTTCACATACCTTTTCCATCAATTACCTCAGTTGTGTAAACCATCCGAAGATGTGGCAATGTACAGTATTGTTGCATAGGACTTTTCATTACGATTATGATGATCAGACATTCATGCAAAAGTCAGGATGATTGTAACGTTTGTGTCTTGTGATTTGGCATACAATGGATCTAGGTGCATGCTACATCCAAAGATTAAATCTAAAGTACTATTTTTATTTTTTTAATTGCAGTATTGTTCTGCAGCTGTTGCATACGTAAAATGTTCCTAATTAAATTTTTGTGAATAATCTATCGCTGCATCGAGTCTTTTCGTAAGTGAATTGGCTCAGTGATTGGTTTTGATAAGTGACTCGATGTATTGAAGTAAATTGAAAGGCTGTTCTTAATTTTTAATTATTTCATCTGCCGTTTGCCATCTTGGAACATCTAACCCACGTTAGATGCTTTTTTCCCAAAACAATTTGCTTAAAAAAATGTACATCTGTCCCATTGTAAAGACACAGATTGAGGAATACTAAACAGTCAGTGGAAGAAATGATTTTCGTTATGGGTGCTGTTACGTTCTCTGTGAACTGGGCCGTTTCATCACAAGAGAAGAACGGAGCCCCCCCCCCCCCGAAGCCATTGATGCGGGAGAAACTCCAGTAAGTTC